TTTTCAAAATTGGTTTAATTTAGAATTCAAGATATATATGTTAATTTTTATTATTTATATTTCAAGAGTTTATATGAGATAAAATTCACGCCGTAGTTGGCACATTCTTAGATGTACCCTCAAATGCTTTAACATTAGGCTAATGGGAAAATATAAGAGGGTGGCATTTATAAATCGATGGTTAGAATATGAAGTGCATGAGGGACACTCACCTAGTTCTCTTCAGTAATTAGATATACTCTGCACACTAATGTCTTAAAATATAATGAGTGTCGCGTGTGCACTTCATATCCAAAAATTGAAAATTGTCTAAAATTTGCATATCTAAAATTAGAAGCTCCTGGTTACTTGATCTGACGCCGTGTAAAAATACAAAGCCAAAAGTAGCATATTTTTTCTAAACCAAAGAGAACTCTCGAAAATATTAACATAAGAAAACATAATCGTATCCTATCGTTATTTCCATACTTATTTCGTCGCCCGCGTATAACTATAACGTCACATATTTAGCTCACCTACAGGAAGCTGGGGGAGCTTTTGTAATACCATCGTTATAGGCGTTCCAGGTTATTAAAAGTTTTTAATCATTTTCTTCATATCATCAGAGTCGCCTGATCTAGTGTGTTTTCTTGTCATCTGTCGGGTTTCAGATGCTGCATTTTCAGTTAAAGAATGTCCAGGTTAATGTTCTTAAAGCAGGTTAATGTTTATGAAGCAGTGCAGCTATAAGCACTTGTTGAGAAGACGTGCTTTATGATGCATCTTCGGATGCACACTGTCAGACTTGCTTCAGACGCTAGATCTGACTTACATTTTCTTGATGAATGCTCAGGGTATATATTTTGGAGCATGTCTCATTTTCATTTAACTATAATCTCTATTTTGAAGAAATATGCACCGATGATGCTACAGATGCCGGATCTTACATTTTCCGAATGACTGACTGAACTAAAGAGAAGTTTGAGGATTAGTCCATTCATTAACCTTCTTTATCAAGGATATGTTTATAGGCATTCCTTTGAATAGAAACTCTCCTCGCTTCAATCTGTTAGAGAAGGTTCACATATAATTCCCTGTGGTCTATATGTAGGGAACGTAGATTACTTTTAAGACTGGATGTTGATTTGTACGTTTCTGCAGGATATGATTTAACACATACATCTGGTATTTACAAATATATTTTAAATTGCGGCTATGGTCTAAAAAATCAAATAGTGACTAGAGTTGGTGAAACAACATAAGCATCAAAAGGAAGTTGGGAAGCGCGAGGAATTACATGTAGGTCCTCGCTTCCCTGAATTGTCTCATTTTTGCTGAAAACATAATGCAACTCTTTATGTGCGTAAATACTTTTAAGTTTAAGAATGAATAGAAGACATGCACTCAATGTATTTTAGTTTTTTTATCATTTGGCTATTTATTCACGCATTCTGTAAGCATTAGCAATAATAGTCCACTATCGGCACACCAAGTATAACCTGGTTTCCATTAAAAATTGAAAATGCCCTATTTGAAAAATCATTGAAGCGGAAGAAAATGCGAACTTGATCTATAACTCAAGTTAAGCACATATACCAAAACAAAAATCAGCTCAATATATGCGATTTTTTTTCCTTTTAGAAAAAACAAAACAAAACAAAAAACGCTGACCCCCCCTTTTTTTTAAATTTGTAATATTCCGTCAAAAATCAATGAAGCAGAATTTCAAACTCGAATTCCAAACTCTGTTTCTCATCAGGATACACTATAAATACCAAAGCCAGCTCAATATCTGCAAGCGTTTAGAGAAAAGTGCGAAAAACCAAGTGGAACAGACTGACAGATAGACAGAGGGACGGACGGACAAACAGGCGGACAGACGATGAGGAAACCTATAGACCCCTCGGGCTTCACTGGTATGGGACTAATAATTACTGTCTTGATAAAATATTTTGACTGGTAGTAATACGCTTGGTATTATTAAATACAATGTACATTGCAGTATGATTCTTTTAAATATACTTTAAAAATATAAATAGCTGCATTATTTAATCACACCGAATTCCGAAATCTGTTAATTTCAAGATTTTTTTTTAAAATTCAATTTAATGATATTACGGTACATTTTATTAATACTTTATTTAGCACAATAACTTTAGTTGATAAAAATGTGTTGCAAACAGTGTCAAACACCTGTCAATGACAGTTTAAGATTATCTATCTCTTGTCTATATATCTTTACATTTGCTTTTCTACGTACGGGAAAATGTTATATATTGATTATTAAGTCTAAGTATAAACTGTCGATTTGAAAATTCCTGTCTTTATTATTCATATACGTTTTATATGTTACATTCATCCTCTTTGAAAGAAGAGTTACAATTAAAACACGAGAAAAATCTTGCACCTTAAATCGCATTCAAATAAAATAAATATCATCAATTTTCTGTAAAGAAAAATATTGAAATTGGTTATTTGATGCCTTTATTCACATTTGTAATATTTCATTTATGATTTTGACGTTAAATAAACTCCATTACCCCCTTTAAATATGACCCCTCCAAAAATATAGGGAAGAGGGTATACTTAAATTTTTAATTATCACGTGACCAGAAAATGTGCAGTATAAATTTTTTTCATATTTTTAGGAAGAAAACACTTTTATCTACAACATATCACAATATCATTACATTTCTTGAGGGGCCGAAAAACAGCCTTACCGAAACTCCCCCTTTGAACGTTCATTTTGAAACAAAAGACCACTAGCAAAAATTTCAACACAAAGTAAAATTTTTGACACGGAAAACAATTGAGCGTTTACATCAAAGTGTTGCAATTTCATTCCTTACATCCAGTCAATATTAACTTACAGAGAAAAATTCAGACATTTAGCTTGAGCAAACTGGTTTATGTCTGTTGGCGTTTTATGATTAAAACAAAATAGGCATATATCTATTTATCTGAGTTCACTCGAGTCACTCAGATGGTCTATTACAGTGTACCATATCTTTTTGTCCGTTGATCGTAAGCTGTTGAAATTTTCAGCTTCATCTAGTTTAATTGTATATATATTTGTAAAGAGGAATATTGTAATTTCATGGTCTCTGCCTCCTTGTGACCTAAGGAATATGACTAAGACCATCAAAATCAATGCGATCTTCAAAAACCTTCTTTACTCCTGGACATCCCCTAACAAATAAAATGATATTATAGTTAAGCAAAGTTATCGATAGTTTACTAAAGTTAACTATAGTAAATACTTTGATACTTTGATATTCTATGGAACTTTGTAACTTTTCTTGCGATTTAGGGCTTCAATATCTTTTTAATTACACACCTATAATGCGAATTTTAGAAATGATATGTGAATATACAAGAAATATTTCCTTTTGATGTCAAAACATTGCATGTATGACTTGGAGATATTGAAATATAACAATTTGAAATTCATGGTAAAAATACCTTGACTTACTATAGTAATAACTTTATTTTCTATTAATAGTGAAAAACTTTGATTTACTATAGTAAAAACTTTGATACTATAGTGAACTATAGTTAAATTTAGTAAACTATAGTTTACTGTAGTATTTTTTTATTAGGGATCAAGCAGTCAAACTAATGATATTTTTATAATAAGCAATGAACATTTTTATTAAACCACCGAAATCCATGATTTCCTGGGACCAGGGTTTTTATTTCCTATCTAGCTTGTAACAAGAGATTTGATTGGTTAGCAAGCCGGGTGTAAATTTCCGTACACCCGACTTCATCCAGGTGGAAAAAGTGACGTCACAATGCATTTTCTCTCTCTCTCTCTCTCTCTCTCTCTCTCTTCACGCTAGCAAAAGGGAGAGACGATAAAAAACTGAAATAAATAGAGCACATAAATAAAATATTTATCATAATTCCAAACTTCTATCAGTAAAAACTTTTTTTTTCTTTTGAGCATTCGATTCTAACAAACATCGTCTGCTGCTCGCTTCATGACTTGCACGAGCTTCATGGTTACAAAAAACAGCTTGCACGGAACACAGTCACCCCCCTTTTCTCCCATGTTTTTCTTTTTAAATCTGGGGTCGAGTCGCCTTTTTCCTATTTTTATATTCTAATATGCACTATATTTTATCAATAATGTAACTCTTTTGTCTCTGTTAAGCTGTTTTTAAATATATCGTTTTCGACTGATACATTTTTATGTATGCAGTCTTTTAACTCTTTTGTCTCTATAAGTTGTTTTAAATATATCGTTTTCGACTGATATATAAAAATATATCAGTCGAAAACGATATATTTAAAAACAGTTTAACAGAGACAAAAAAGTTACATTATTGATAACATATAGAGCATATTAGAATATAAAAGTAGGAAAAGGCGACTCGACCCCAGATTTAAAAAAAAAATGAAAGGGGAGGGGGGTCCATACCCCAAGTGCCTGTGGCACGGAACGCTGTATATGTTTTACACATAGGTACTCCCCAGCTTAATTGTTTAAAGAAAAATAGCAAATAACTTCGTTATCCAAGTCCAATGAAGGATGTACGGGGATTTACCCCGGGTTGTATTCCATACACCCTTCGGCCTTAGGCCTCAGGGTGTGTGGAATACAACTCAGGGTAAACCCCCGTAAACCCTTGACTGAACCTGGTTAACTAATAATATCCCTCCTCTGATGTCTTAGAGGTCCGTGTTTGCTCTGCACTTATTTTGTAATGTTTAATGGACTTTAGAGCTCGAATACGTTCGTTATCTCCACATATTTCATACAAAGGAATGAATTAATTGGTCTTATACTGAAATTTCATTTATCTTACTAGAAAATCATCTAATCATCTAAAAATAAAGGAGAAAGACCTTTAAGGGCAGAGGCATATGGGGGGCCACCGGGTTCGATCGCCGGTGGCCGGATAGTTCAGTTGGTAGAACACTTGACTGGAGATAAAGGAGGCTCTGGTTCGAATCCCGGTCTAGTCCGTCGCATCTTTCCCTTTTCCGGTTACAGAAAGAATCATGGACGTTTATAGTTTATTTTACGTTATTTTACAGTTTACAACAAAATTAACTCGAGATACGATATACAGTGTATCATATATTAAAATCATTTTCAAGTTCTTCGACCTATAAATACAGATAACATGCCCTTATGTTAATACACCCCAAGTTCGCTGCATTTTTTAACAAATAAAAGGTATATGGAAGGAAGTTATTGATGACATCATCTGTTGTGATTACGTAGCAGAAGTCTGAACTTGTAACATCTGATCAACAAGTGAATAGGTTGTATTGGACACCATTGTTGACTGTGAACGCTTCTGTCTCCCTGGAATCTTCGTATTATGTTGACTCCATTTTCGTTTTAGTAGTGAATGAACCTAGATAAGAAAAACGTCATTCTATTAGATGACTTTTTACAAACAGCGTTGAAAGTATAAGAAATAATTAAATATATTCTTAGATTTAAATATATTTAAATACATGCTAAAACTTTCTTGTGCAGCTCAATAAAAATTCTAACTTCATTTCTAGCACGGATATAAATTTATTTTTTAAATAAAATCTCAGATAATTAAGAATATGCAAAATGTTTATTCACCACATTAGCAGGGGAACACTTCTTAATATAAAACAAATAATCGGCATTACTGAGATATGCATTTCAAAATGCCAATAACTTGTAGCATAACATTAAATAGGATGGATAATTAAATAAACACAACTTTAATTAGTACGGGAAGAAGTGGTGTTACAATATAAACACTCCATTGATAAAACATTGATCAACATGGCCGTGAGTTAATGGGTCAGTGTGACAAAAACGCTTGATGACGACATCACATACGTGTGTTAGTGAATCACTGTGACAAAGACGCTTCACTAAGACATCACTGTGTGAATGAACATATTATTCACCTGCGCGTTTTGATAATAACCGACTCATTCGAAATGTACTAATGGTCGAGAGTTGATACGAGTTCTTTAACTTACGCACCTCTCCATTGCAGAAACAGTACATTATGGATACGAACGCACCCTGAAAAGAGAAATATGAACAGTATATTATGGATAGGAAAGCACCCTGAAAAGAAGGAAGGTTAAATAAATAGTTGTTAAATTTCATCTATAAAGCATGATTTTGTTATAATTCATCAAGTAGATGAACGCATTTCAGATGAAATTTTGTGGAGCTAGAAACTAAGTGTGCCTCGCAGAAGTTTTTTTTTCCCCAGAAAACAATTTATGTAAACCATGTGAGTTTTCGTTGTTTTGATATACACTCATGTTAATATAAACTTAAGAGATTTATTTGTGTTCTGTCTTTTATTTCATTAGTTTTAATATTTGAAAAACTAAAAGAATTCAACTTTAAATTTCCCTGGTTTATCAAAAGTATATATTACTTTTGTCAAAATGGTTGGGTTAAGAATTCAAGAATTCCTGAGAACTTGTTTGTAAATTAATATTTATTAAAATCTTGTTCTATTTCTAAAGTTTTTTGGGGAGAGAAAAGTACTTCTGTAATATTGTACATAGATGGATAATAACTGATATATTTCCCGTATACATGCATGCATACATTTAAATAGATGTATTTTTTATTCTATCGTTTAAATATATATTTTGTTCAGAGATATTGTACCTGCAATGGAACGAATATAGCCAAGCCATACTGGTAAACAACATAAAGTGTAGATTCCTTATCCTCTGGGCGCTTGATAAAAATTAGGAATTGTAATCCTAGCAAAGGAATCAAAATGGCCGTAGCCCGTACTGCTTTCCTGTGAAGGTAAATTTCATACATGAATAAATAAGACAAGTCCCTATGAAGTAATTCTTATTGTATCCAGTGATTGCTGTAATTTAGCCTGACCCATTTTGAAATTTAAATGAAGGTCAACATCAATAATCGATAACTAAAAAAAATGTCATGTTTCTATTTGGATATTAATTTGCAAATAATACGTTTTTTCCCCTCAAATTACATGTAATAAGGTCATCAAACTGCATAATAATTCACTTAATGTCCCCTTTTTAAAGAGACCCGAGGCGTTTATTTTTGATATTTTGTCTTTTTGACGATAAAAGACCTACAAGTATATTTCCTATCTCTAAATATACGCAAAGTAATTAATCATTCCAATTTAATGTGAATGATTAACTTTCTAATGCGGCCAAAGACTTTAAAGTATTAATTTGGAACATTGATATTTTGTGATGAAAGGCAATGAATGACTACTTATAGTTACATTAAAACCAAGATAATGAAACTATAAATCTTTTAAAGTGACGTCATTCGATTTCATTTAACCTTTGTCATGATATACATGGTATGTATTGATTTTCAAATTTTAAAATCAAAAATATCTAGATTTTTCTTGATATTGCCATTCAAGCAGTCATTAAATTGCCATACCAGGAAGAAGATATAAAATGTTGTCTAATTAACATTCTAAGATTGATTAAAAGCTTATAGATTTATAAAGGCATCCGTCCATTTGCGTAACACAATTCGAATTATATTACACTTTTTGCGATGTTAGAAGACATTTATAGTTCATCTTCCTTTTTTCGAAAATAAATCTATTGTGTAACAAGGCATTTTCAGACCTTTCCTCCGTATTTATAACAATCAGTATCAAAATTATGTCGTATTCCTCTACATTAAAACTTTCGCAATTTTGAAAGGAGGCTATTTTTAGCCATGTACATGTCTATATATCTATGTTCATCTATTTTTTGGTCAACCCTTTGGTCTTTCAGCGATATTTGTCAAATTCTTTAAAACATTTCGACGAAAGTTTAAGATATGTGTACATAGGAATGAGGACAGAATTTTTAATAGTATGAGAAAGGGCTGAAAGAGATAGATTCAGGAATTCAGTTTGTGTTTCATCCAACTGATCGCAATATATCTTTTTAAAATGTAATCAAAATAATCTTACTAACGTTTTACCTGATGTTTCAGTTTTCAAGAGCGAGTGAAGGAGTCAAGGGATATTCAATTTTATCTTATTTTATTCATTCCTTTATTCATATATTCATTTACATTTTGTATTCATTTTGAATCTGTGAATTGTGTACCTGTATATTCCACACTGTAATTTCAAAAAAGAGAGATAGATCTTGCATTCCTTATGTAGAATATTGAGAGAAACACCTTCATAAACTTTGAAATAATAAAAGCCTTCTATGAGAAAGAACTACATGATAGCTAAAAAGTGTGTTTTCAATGTTAAGTTTTTCACAAACCGTGTCTGTGCAGCTTCCGGTATTTGTCTCAGCTTTGTTATAAGTAAACGCATTATGTTCACAACAAAAATCACATTTATCTGAAAAATATAGATAAACAGATTTAAATTCAAATTGACCTAGATATTTTGTAATAGGAACAATGTAGATAATCAAATAGTAAACTACATTTTGATGTTAGAAAGTAACCTAATTTGTACTTCGATATTATTCAACTTTTTCTAATCATTAATTATTGTTTTCAAAATAAAATGTGAAAAGAAAATTCCATCTTCGTCAAAAAATAGGAATAAATCCGTCTACATATCCGAGAAAAAAAAAAAGAATATTGAGAAAAATACAAATTAATTACCGACATGGAGAGTACTACCGGAGCATATATGATCCAGAGAAAACTACTCTCACCACTCCAACATCTGAGAAAACACAAAACTAAATCATTAAATAATCAATGTCTTTTCTTAAGAAGAGAAGATATTATACTCTTCCATCCATCTCATATTATATATAGATCTTATGATAAATAAAGATTGAAATTAATTGTATTTGTTCCATTCATTCAATAGCGTGTGGTTATTTTTACGCTTAAATGGATTTTGGTCTAATATTTAGAGGCATAGACAATTGCAGACCTATAACTCAAATGTTTTTTTTTTAGGATTTGCATTCATACGGATATTAGTTAATGCTTACACCAAATTCATGTTGAGTCGTAAGAATTCTGGTTTTGTGTTAGAAATACATACGCTATTGTGTTGTCATTCAAGGAGGTTCTGACAGCTGCATAAATGATTGTTAAAGGAATAGGGACACCTTTTAAAAAGCAAAACAAAGAAAATGTAAATATTTTTCTATTACAATTTTTGTCTTTTTTAAAGGGAGTTTGTTCTTGGAATACCATTTGCCTGTCAAACGTACAGGTAATTTATAATTCACTCTTATGGTTCATGACTAATCCAATTTTCCCGGAAAGCTTAATTAAAAAAAAATTGAGCATTACATTTTATAGCATGATTATGTCTTTTATATACCTACACCAACCAATCACTAGACACGCAATAATAACAGATTTTCCGGATGTGAATGCGCTCATCATAACTGTGTGAAGATATAGTCCTTCACAGAACATCCAGGCAAAGTTGCAGACGATTGCATATTGCGTGACAACATGAAGAACTTGACACCAGTCCTGAAAGAAGGAAAAGTTGTCTTTATTATATCATTGATGATGTAAGCAGTGACCTTATATTTTACAACAGCAAATTTAACATTCACAAAGCAAAGTCTCCATGCACGTTTTAATTTTTATGTTCTCCAGTGTAATTTTTCTTTGCGCATACTCAGCAATGTCCAATTACACAAGACGTCATGGTATATTTTAAGAGTCACACAAACACCAGATTTGACCGTTTGATATATGCAAATGTCATTTATTGTGCATGTATGAATGACGACAGATAATTAAAAGATAAATTAGATAAAGGGGAGATCACTCCTATTGTTAAAACATGAATATAACTGGTATTATAACGTTAATCGTTGTTTTTAATTGGATTTTCCTCAGCCTTTTTTGAAGAAAAATGAGAATAGGTTTTGTGTTCTGTTGGTTGTTAAATATCCCTCTCGAGAATTTTTCACTCATATGGAGACGCCACCACTTGTCGGTGGAGAGCTTCTAATTCAGACCTATACTTGGCACTCAAGGCCATTGAGCAGTAATGGATCTTTTTCTTGCCAGCATCTATTGTGATGCGGGACCTCGGTTTATACAGTCTCATCCGAAGGACATGGAGAGTCCTTCGGTGGAGACCCCACGTCCCACAGTGGGATTCGAACCCCTGACGTAAGGATCAACTCCTTATTTTGCGACTCTAGAGCAAACGCTCTACCCCTGCACCACACGGGCTTCTGTGTTCTGTATTTGAATTATTAATTCAAGAAATACAGCAAGATAACTGCCAAAGGAACCCCCATTACAGTACTTTGCGAATTAATTTAACAAACTAGAATTTCGGGGAAAAGCATCACAAATAAACAAAAGAAGTGAAATTACTTACCGGATTGTGAAGGACGACATCCTCCGAGAAATTAATAACAGATAGATATACCACATAAAACAGATCTGTTATCAGATAGGAAATAAACAAATTCTTATGTATGGTGATTCTGTCACATCGTAGCTGTCTGCAAACAAAGAAAAAGATTTGTGAATTTCATTGAAATATCGCAATCGTTATAATTGCACTCAAAACCAAATTGTTTGTAAATTCATATTAGAGTAGGAGAAATTAAAAATTCTTATTAAAAGAAGACAGCTGAGGGTACATCCTATACTACTGATATTTATCAGCGGTCAATGTTGCCAATTACATTGGAGAACAATTTTTGCGATTTTTATGCTCCGTAATCGAAGATTCTGCCTGTTTGTTTGTCTGTTTATCAGTTTGTCCGCAAAACTAAATTAACCTTCTCCATTTAACTTTTGACTGGTTGGGGCCAGGGCTTTTGAATTTCACATGTGTGTTCCTTATGAGATGACCTTTTTGGGTGGGTACCAACAAATTTGACTTTTTGACCTAGACCTTGGAGTTTGACCTACTTTTGCACAATTTTACCAAACTTAAACCTTCACTATACCTTTTGGTTCTAGGGCTTTCATACTTCGCGTGTGTATTTCTTGTGACAAGACCTTTCTTTGAAAACCACCATGACGTTTTGACCATGACCTTTGTGTTTAACCTACTGTTGAAAAGCTTTATCGTTGGCCATAAATGAGCCAAAACTTTCATATTTCACAGGTGTTGTCATGGATTATCCGCGAGTTTATGTAGCGTTAACTTTGTTGTGACGTCATAATACTTTACGTTACTATAGATAATAACAAGTCTCAAATAAACCACTATACGATCAAGACGTCTTTCATTTCATTTCACAACATTTTGATGCCGTGACCGACGGAATTCTACGTAGTACATACAATGGAAGGAAGACTAAAAGCTATACGAGCCGGCAACAGATCAGCAGTTACAAAGCTATTTGGACGGTTTTTGGACTTGAAGGAAAATCCAGCCAGTGAAGAAATTACCGAGGAAATCAACATAATTAGAAAGTCTCTCGCGCTGAAAAGGCAGACCCTACAAGAATTGAATGACCGCATATTGGATACCCTATCTGAAGAGGACATCGAAACAGAAATCGCAAATACAGATGAGTACATGTATGAATTAGACTGTAAAATTAGGCAAACTGAAAAATTTACAGAAAAAATTCCATGTAAAACTTTGAATGCCAATGCTGAGTGTTTTACACCCGCCACAGAAATTTATGATAATAACGTTAACACGTCAGCTACAATTAACTCAAGTGAAACGGCTTGTGAGAATATTTTGAACAATTATCCTGCCTCTGATCTCAATGCACAAAGTAGCCAGGAAAATGTTTTGTCATTAACATCCCAACACGCCACGAATAATCACCGATTACCAAAGTTAGATCTTCCGCATTTTTACGGAGATGTATTAGAATGGAATACATTCTGGGATTCTTACGAATCAACGATTCATTGCAATCATACTTTAACGCCAATTCAAAAGTTTAGCTATCTCAAAGCTCAATTACGCGACACAGCAGCACAAACAATAGCAGGATTTGCGCTTACAAATGCTAATTACGAAACGGCAATAGACTTGCTCAAAGAACGATTTGGTCAGCCACAGAAAATTATTAACGCTCATATGAGAGCACTCATCGAACTTCCTGCCCCCAGAAATGATGCCATTAGTTTAAGAAATTATGGAGATTTCTTGGAATCTCATGTCAGGAGCTTAGAGTTTCTAGGGCACCAAAATGTTGTGGAATGAAATGAAAGACGTCTTAATCGTATAGTGGTTTATTTGAGACTTGTTATTATCTATAGAAACGTAAAGTATTATGACGTCACAACAAAGTTAACGTTACATAAACTCGCGGATAATCCATGACAGGTGTATTGCTTGTGACAAGACCTATTCGTGTGGGTACCAACATTTTTTAACTTGACCTTGAACTTAGAGTTCGACCTTCTTTTGAAAAACTTAAACGTTGGCCATAACTTTTGAATAGTTAGTAGTAGGGCTTTACTATTTCAAATATGTATTCCTTGTGAAGACCTTACATAGGATACCAAATTTTTGACATCTTGACCTTGGAGGTTGACTTTCTTTTAAAAATGTTAACCTTGACTTAACCTTTGAATCATAGTTGGTGCTAGGGCTTCCATATATCACATGTGTGTTCTATTTGACAAGACCTTTCTTTAGGTAACAACATTTTTATCTCTTGACCTTGACCTTTGAGTTTGACTTCCTTTGAGAATTTTTTAACCCTGGTCGTAGCTGTCCGAAGTCTGCATCAGTGTTTCATTTGCTTTTCCTATTTTATCCTTCTAACCCTTAGATATAGCTTGCTAGGACTCATACTGAAGTCATTTTTCAATTGAGACTCTAGAATCTATTACTTTAAGTTGCAAAATGCCAAAATACAGATATTTAGCAACACTTACCTGAATTTGAAAAATATAACTAGAGAGATTGAAATCAGGACAAACGAGAGACAGAACAAAGCTATTGTGACGTAAATATGAATGACGTCGTTCTCCAGCTCCTGTGAAGGTAATTACAAGTTTTATTATTAAATAAACAAGTAATTTATAGACGTATTTGGTTAATTGTGTTGCAATTTAACTCCCATAAACTATATTTTAAAACATAATGATATTATATAAGAACTTTCAAACCAGTCCATTATTCATAAAATTAACTGATAAAGGATTTTGAATTAAAAAGTAATGCAATGATTCAAGAATAAGTGCTAGGAGTGATTGTAGTTTTAATTTATTTAAGGAATGAATTTAATAGCTATCCAATTTAAAAAAGCGTAAACTGTTTCAACCAGCTTATACAGTATAAATTGGTTAGCTATTAATTTCATTCCTTATAATTTAATTTTCATTCATTTAGTGTAAGACAAAAAATGATTATCCTTAAAAATGACTTCAATTTGTACAAAATTTGAATGTAACGTCAGGCTGATCGTTACATTTTTGACGCATGTCATTGTGACGTTGGCAACCAAAGAGCTAGGTTCATTTTATGCATAAAATGGCCCTGTCCTTATGTCAATTAATTGACTATCACTCTCTTTCCCATTTCATGTATCAAAATAAAGTAGAGACTTAGTGCTTTCATTTCCTATAACAAAATTTCTTTTTGATAATCCAGGTATTGGAAAACAGAAAACATGCGTATTTGACTACCTTCAGCAAAGAATTCAAATATGAGCACAGCCCACGATCCAAAAATAATAAAATAAAATAAAAAAAAAATGTTTTGTGATCTTCAGAAACAGATATTTCATAATGTTATTGCATATTTTGGATCAGGGGTTGTGCTCTATATGAAATATAGAAAAAATATTTCAACTTTTGGCCATTTTTAAGGAAATTTACAGGATATGGGGAAAATGACGCATTTATGACGTCATAATGCATTGACTAGAGAGAAAATTACTTCATGTTCCATAGTTTCCATAGATACACGGTCACCAAGGGTATAAATACTGCATTTTCAACAAAAACTGAGCAGTTTCGATTTTCACAAATTCTCAGGGCCAAAAAAAGGCCCTAAGTGGCTTTTGCTCTTTATACGATACAAAGTGTTTTTTTTTTATCCAGTTAAATATCTCGTTACAACCAGAACTAAAATATTAAGTTAAAATATCAATTTACACACCTTTACGGCATTTTCGTAGTTTCTACATCTGGAATAGTCAGCGTATTCTCTTCCCGTGTTAGGGTTGACGTACCACGTTCCGTTGTCAGTGCAGTCAAAAAAGACTTTTTCTGAAATTGTGAAACTATTAGTAAGTATTCAGCATTGCATATGAGTAGTTCTGACTGAAAGACATCTTACTGAATTTTTACATTTTCTATAGTCCTTGTGTATATGACAATAATAACGAAATTGGCATTCTATTTCCGTTGACAGAAGTTGGTCACGTGATCAGACTTTCTTAAGAATGGAAAGCAAACTGCACAAGACATTTGGAAGGTCTAGGCTGTGACGACAAATGACATCGTACATGTACATTATGTTGCATTTCTATAACAAAGTCTAAATAGTGCATTTTTTTTAAAATTTGTAACACAAATAAAATATAAATCTAAAAAATAAAATATCATTTTTAGAGTTTCATTGGGATGCGACATGTAGTTGGTACGTAATCAGATCTACTATATTGTCCTTCAGGCGTTATAGGATTTGATCATGTGACAAATTTCATATCATATTTCAATGAAACTCTAAAAATTATATCTTATTTCTTAATTAGAGTATTTTCCTACTGGACCGTATTAATTCGAACATTTTGATCTCTAGCAAAAAAACTGTATATTAATTTTTTGGAACAATATCTCGCTAAGATAATTTTTTTTTTGTCTTAAGTGCACTCTTTGCTTTCAATTTGACCTATTTTTTCCAAACAATTGCGTGTGTATGATATAACTTTGTTTTCTCCTTCAATTTGTTATTTGACAGTTGTTATTTAGCTTTCCAAGTCGATAAAAGGGTGATAATATATGTGATATCTGATAAATAGTTTGTAAACATCTACTTTCAGTAGAATGATAATCATACTTGATTTCCGATTGGATTGTATAATCAGATTAAATATGATAGTTTTCATTAAGTGGGCAGTTCTCATAACTTCATGCTATGAGAGTAGAACAGTTTCAGCTTATCAAATAAATTCATGATAAAAACCCTCTTCTTTCCTTCAAGTTTTATGTAAGAGAAAGTTCTGCGATTAAATCAAGATTTGTGGATGCATGATTAGGAATGCATGTTGGCATCCCCCAATGAATGTTTCTATTCAAGTTTTATTTCTTGTTTACAACTCTATGAATGAATTGACCAATTATCCAATATAAGAGATTAAATCACGTGTGTTACGCACGCATAAGGTTTATATAGCATGTTATCTTTCACATGTTTATTTCAGATTCGCACGCCATTTTAAAGCTGATTATACAGAGAAATGAAATTTGTAACATATCAAAGAAAAAAAGAAAATGATGTCTATTTACAACATTTCAACACGGTAATAAATTATACAATGACGTCTATACCTATCAAACTTCTTGTCACCTGTAATAGCATCATTTTCGATGCTATCTTGTCATCTGTAATAGCAACATTATGGATACTTTCTTGTTACCTGTACTAGCAACATTTTAGATACTAGCTTGTCACCTGTAATAGCAATATTTTGGATGCTAGCTTGTCACCTGTAATAGCAATATTTTGGATGCTAGCTTGTCATCTGTAATAGCAACATATTGAATACTATATCTTGTTGCCTATGATAGCAATATTTTGGATGCTAGCCTGTCGCCTGCAGTCGCAACATTTTGGATGCTAGCCTTTCGCCTGTAGTAGCAACATTTTGGATGCTAGTTTGTCGGGTGTAACAGCAGCATTTGGATACTAGTTTGTCGCCTATCATAGCAACATTTTGGATGGTAGCTTGTCGCCTGTAATAACAACATTTGAATACTTTTTATGATGTTTTTTTAATAGCAATACCGGTGCTAGGTATCCATTTCCTTCCTATCACCTTCAGATGTCATGGTCAAGTTGACAGTAGTGCTTGTATTTCATTCTTTGACAAGCAGTATTCATTACTAATAATCAAACAATCTTTCATCCTGGTTCAAAAAGATTCTTTGCTAAATAGGTCAAACGTCATGATCTACGTCATGTTGTCAGGAATCATTGCGCCTTATGAAAGATAATGAGATCGGTGTGACACATTTTTAGCATTAAACATTAATTTCCTAGCCTTCTGCCCTCTTACGATATAGTTACATTACATGTATATGTCTATACTGTACAAGAATTTAACAAAAATAATAATTTAAGACAGTTGCATTATATCTTTTTATATTGGATATAATTCATTCGTGCTAAGACGTCGCGCAGATGATTAGGGGGTTATGAAATGTTTGGTAAAGAATTTTTGGTAATACTAAAGTGATAAATAAAATGTGCAAACCAAGAAGTTGACAAAAGAATAAGCAATCATTTGGAGATAATGGTAGAGTCGTTTTGATGTCTATGATTTTGATACTATGACACAAATAAGCGTATTACGATATTTTACGGTACGTATAGACGTGGGCCCTATTATGTTTTTAATTAAATGTACATCTTGTTACAGATGAAATTTTTTTTTTTGAAATGTGCAAATAAATATAATTTTATATTAAAAAATTGGAAAAAGAATAATCTTTTTTTAAGAGGACGTTTAGTCTAATTTTTTACGTATTCAATTTTTAATGTTTTCGCGTCTACGAAATTAAAGGTACGCAATATCGTCGAAAATGGATTTCTTGCACACTTGCCATTTTTAAGGGTAATACAAACCTGTCACCAGCACAAAAAATACTGATAAAAGAATGGAAAGAATAAATTGAATTAAAAGAAGACGAGATAATTTTTAAAAATGCTTCTCGTAAAAAAGTCAACATTGTTGAATCGGGTGTTGAGTATTTAAAACGTATTAGAAAACATTCTAAATTCATATTGAAATATGATGCTAAATGCGATGAAAACGACACCAGTGAATTGGATGACAATAGAAGTTGTCAAACTATAATTAAAGTCAACCGGTACAATTTATGCATCTACATTTTGATCCAATTATTCACAATATGAAAGATATAATGCATATTCCAACACTAAGACATCAACCTTTAGCGTTTGAATGACGCTATTTTGACCGTTCGAAATGAGCCCAAATTCTGTGCGCGACGTCTGAAATATCAAAGCATTTTTGATTTGTTAAGAGAAAAAGATAAAGGAATCACGTTTATTTCAGGTCAAAAATCTGTCAATGTTTCCATTTAAGTAACGTAAGTAATTTATAGTTAAAAATAGAGCAATTTTATGTGTTTGAAGATTAACTTACGTGATTTATGAAATCCGGGGATCTCGGGACACGGCAATGACGCCTTCGTTCCTGCTTCTGTGTAATTCCAACAGCCCAGAAAATCGTCATGTTTTGGAAAACAATATAATTTACCTTCAAAAGATGAAAGCATTGAGTTTTTTAAAAGTAATCTACCAATACTTGTACGTATTTTTTTTATATATAAAAGATTCTGTGTCGGTAACATGTGGCAATGTTAAAATTTTCAAGCTGATTTTTTTTGGTACAAAATGTTTGATGCGAAATTCAGAGGAACTGAAATTTATTATTTAAACCAGATGTATTTGTGAAACACTGATGCCCCCGTATAGCAGCGCAAGGCCAAGGTTGAAGTTTTTCAAATGTAGGTTATACAACAACGTCAAAAGATAAAAAATGTAGGTACCAAAAGAAAGGTCTGTCACAAGAAATACACATGCTAATTATGAATACCCTAGCACCAACCATTCAGAAAATGGGGGGGGGGGGTCAAAAGTAGATAATCCTCCAAGGTCATGAAGTCAAAAATATCGGTATTAAAGGAAAGGTCGTGTCACAAGCAGTACGAACATGTTAGTGAAATATGAAACCCCTAGCACCATCCGTTAGAGCCAAGATTAAAGTTTCTTTTTTTTTTATTATAAATGTAGGTCAAACTCAAAAGTCAAAGTCAGAGGTCAGTTATGTTGGTACCCTAATGAAGGTCTTTTCACAAGAAATACAAATGTGATATATGAAATCCCTATCACCAAACGTTCAAAAGTTAAAGTCATTGTTAAAGTTTTTAGATTTAAAATCCATGATCTGAGGGTCAAAATTTGAATATGATTATAATTCGAGCTCTTCTGTATGTTTGTTTGGTTTTCTCCCTCTCTCTCTTTTATATAGTTTTGTTTGTTTGTTTTTATTGCTATGTTTGTTTGTTCGTTCGTTTGTTTGTTTGTATTTTATTATTTTATTAATTACTTAAGTTGTTTTATCTTTTGTATTTCATTTTAAAAAAGATTGGATTTACATAATGACATCTTTTCAATTATTGTTTTTTATCATGGGATGAGAATATTGATACATCATGCATGAAAGAAGTTATTTTTGAAAACTTTTCCCACTACATTCACATGCATGCATGTATAAAATCATATTCATATAAGTAGTATTTTTTCTAATTAACATAAAATTCAGCCTGGTTAATATTCAATGGAGAGAACTAAGGGAAAAAATATAATCATTAAAGTGTCATAGGTAGCAAATTAAAACTTTGCAAGCCATGCACCTGTATTGTATTAATACCATTGAAATTGTTTGACAGAACTTTTAGCTAAAACATCGTTCTTTTTTTATTTCAAGGGAGTGATGTTCTTTAATCAAGTTTAACGTATTAGAGGAGAATTTAAAAACAATATTACATGCACGATGACTATTTATGAAACTATTTAATTGGCAAACGAATCTTATAAAACGTAATAGAGATCAAGTTTTCCAGATTTAATCAACTCGCGTGATGGAATGTCTTATCCAACACAGGAAATGTGAGAAATGTAGATTTTAGTGAACCACTTTCGCTAACCTATCTAAACTACATCAATTTATTTACAAATAACCTGAAACATTTCGTACATGTAAGCATTAATTTTTATCTATCTCGTTCTGAAACCTTAGTCATGTTAAGGCTGCTGAAAAGGGAAAAGTGACAGATTTTTTTTTTTCATTTATTTTTTTCAAAGAAATGTTATCTCTAAAAAACTGATGGTGGGTCTTGTAATCAAATATAAAATGTCAGATTTTTCTTGAGCAATAAGTTTTAGAAAAATGTTATTTGAAAAATTTACCCCAAAAAAGTACATATGAATTTTTAAAGTGTTTATTCTAACTCCTGACCGATTTATGAAAGATAATGCTTTCAAGACCAAGGAATCCTTTGCTTTAATTGAATAACAGTGTGCAGCAAGTGAATGACTGTAGGATAGATAGAGGGGTAATTACATCAAAATTCAACCCAGCATGAAGACTCCATCTGGACGAATGGAGGTTATGGGGCTCATTCTTTAATGTTGTAAGCAATTACATGGAAAAAATACTTCACAATGAGACAATAGATTGAGCGTGGAGGTAGGCAGGTGCAAAGGTTTCAGACTCTTTTCCGTTACTTTACATTTCTACCTTAAAACAATGGTTGTTTGTTAATAATCTAATTGATAAACTAGCATTCCAAAAGACAGCTAACATTTACATGTATAAGTTTCTTCTGAAATGAAGCCTTGTTTTAATTTAGATACTTTTTTAATTCCTTTTTTTTTTTTTTTTTTTTTTTTTTTTTTTTTTTTTGCTGCATTGTTTTAGTTGAATAGGTCTTCATATATTATGCAGGCTTGGGCATTATACAAAATTTTTAATGTTTGTGCCGCAGTGAGAGGATAAATAGACTTCCAATCATTTGGTCGCCTCGCCATCTAGACGGTTAATTTACGAAAAACTCACTATGCTCTTGTCACATGGGTGTCCTGATCCCGTCTCTGGTGTTTTTAGGCCTCCGTGTTTTTGCCTAATTCACGATTTGATAATTGAGGATTGATGAGATCGATTACTGTTACTTATACTCAACTTTTTTTTATTTATCAACTTTACATCAAGAACAGAATGTTTGGGATTTTCCTTTTATATATATCACTGAAATCTTTGAAAACAATTTCCATTCGCAATCTCCTTTCATTTAAAAAGTACAAAATTTATGTAATTTCTGTACAAAGAAGCACTGTTATAAAAATGCTTTAAGAATAATCAGATATTTAAAAAGAATATCTAAATGATGTATTATTTCATCGTGAATGAACAAATTAGATGGGGGATAAGATATTGATAGAAATTAAAGAAAAAATGTGCAATCACCATTCTGACGAAACCCTTTTGTTTCTGATTAAGATTTCAATTCATGATTAAAAAATTTTATAAAAATAACCCTACAAGTTTAATACGGGGTTTCAAGTTCAGTACAGGTGTGAATTTGAAACAGTAAATATAAATTATTCTAACTGAAAATTTAGTGATATTCCTTCTTTAAAAGACTGTCCAGATAAGCAAGACCTCAATGTTGCATTGATTTTAATTTTCTTAGGAAAAAAAAAGGTCAAAGGTCATTTTCAAAGTTAGCAATTAAACTCTAAATAAGAGAGACAACATCTAAGTTTTGATAATTGGTTATCTTTTGTTAGGAATTCTGAGAGAACTGATTATAGAATTGCTTGTGTGGTATGTTCCCCTTTGATTTTATTTCTCTAATAGAGAAAACACCAGCTGTTATCACAATAAGGATTAGTAAGAAATTATAACAGAAGAGAAGTTACGGTAGCTTGACAGAAGCAGTGAATTATGATAGATTAATAAGAGACGTCAGCTTTTATTACAAGGCAGTCGGTACGTTTTAAAAAGACTATATAGCGGTATGAATAGAGAGCAAAGACGCTCAGTGAATGTAAACTTCGGCGTCAAATGTTTGATACGATCATTTAAAGTAGTTTATTGATTTAGAATGTGCTGACTGAAAGATGGAAAGGTTTTATATTAAATGATTTTTTTGTTTTTGGATACATTAACAAAAGTTAAACCTGAAGGAAAGCCAAACCCCTTTTCAACAATACATGGCTACTTCAAGATACATTTTACTAGGTTGCCAAGTTAATTGTTCAGTACATGTTCTTTTTTATGTATCCTAGAAAAAAAAAATAACAGTATTAATATATGTATATCTATATTTTATTGTATAATTTTAAGTGTACTATTTCATTATTTCTAACAGAGATCTTTTTAAAGAAATTAAGCAATTTAGATAATTCTTGACGTTTACAAATCCACCTCACACAGTAAGTATCTTATACAAGAGAGTGTACATTGGAATTTTGGCCAACTCGTTTCCTCTCGAATCTCTTCTTTTTGAATCATTAAAGCTGGTTTCGGACGATTAAGAAAATCTAAAATAATAGCGCTATCAGTGAACAAGAAAGAATTTCTTTCGTTTATAAGTATTTTTTTTTATAAAAGGAGAATGCCTTTCTAATTGAATCAGTTATTCCAAAAAAAAACAAAAAAAACTGCCGGATGTTATACAGCATAAAGAAAAGAAACTTCACGACTAGTTAGGAGCAAATACTCAATAGATGGTACATCGTATAGTTCATACAATACACCAATGACTCTCATGATTTCATTTATAAATAAGCAAACGATTAACTTTCTGTAAATGAGTGTCAATTTCTTGTTTAAGATATTGCCTGTATCAGAAAAAGCAATGTCTGACTAAGTAATTCTTTCCGTTTATCAAACTCCAAAGGATTAAAATTGGTTATATTCGTACAAATATGAAGAGTACGCCTTTTTTACACGGAAATACTACAATGTACCTAACGCCAGTTTTGCTTTGTTTTATCATTATAAAGCCAAAAATTGATTAAATATATCATAATAGATATATTTTATTTACTGTAAACATCAGATATTGATGTTTCTTTTACAGACAAGGTTTTGGTTAGAATCATAGATTGGTATACGAGAAAGTTCAAAGACATCAAATGAATAAAATTTCATCACTAGGGAAGCGTGATAAGTTATTCTCAAAAGCACGGACTTGATGCTTTAATTAAGGCATATGTAATTAATCATAAGAAAATAAATATAGTTCATTAACCGCTGAATTCGGATTATAATCGATTTTTCTGTAAACTGTTTATCACTGGTAGGTAAGTAAATGATTTATGGTTTCTGATATCCATGAGTCAATTCATTCTGGTCTTCTCCTGACCCTAGAGAAGAGATTATATAAGTGTCGATTTCTTATTCAGATCTGTCTACATCAGGCTGCTTGACGCATTCTCTGTTTTGTTAGGCTTTGTGATAGTCTTTTTCAGCCTTTTTCTTGGTATTGGTGTACATTCTCAATGATTTTCTATCTATTTTCTTACTGTCCAATGTTGTTGAATCGGTTAATAATACAGTTAGGATTATTTGATCACGTTTCTTTACGACATACATGTACTCGTAAGTAATTCCCAAAAAACCCTCCATGCAAAGACATTTTACACAAAATTCATATAATCATAAAATCGGTCAAGTTCAACATTTTTGGCATTTTTGCCTCAAAATACTATATTTGATTAATGATAATGGTACGGAAGGTCAATATCTTTTTTAAAAACAAAATGATATCAAATGATAAAAAGACGTTAAATCTAAATTAAAAATTGTTCCAGTCAATGCAATGTACAGTGCAGCTGATAACGGAAAATACCTTTGAGGCAAAATTGAGTTGAACTACAACTGTAAATGTATACAAAGTGCATTATCATGATACTCCGACGTTGAATAAAACAGACTGTTTTGAAAGAATACATATCTTAGTTGATAATCATTCAAATGAAATGTTTAAAATATATATTAAAGAGGAAACTTACCATCAGGTGGCGCTGGTTTTGATATGACCTCTTCATAGCACATTTGGGCCGAAATTGCATGAATTTGTTTAAAGATTTCATTCTCAAATAACACACTTTTCTTTTCCATTCTGGTTTTTCAGTCTGATAAATATGTTTCAATCCTCGGATGTAGAATTCACACAAAATCCATTGGCTGTCTTATAAGTGTTGTAAATATAATTTTCACTACGTTAAGTATCCTTTTCTCCTTATGCCCTTAAATTAAATCACACTGTTTCATTCTAACGTTTTGTTCTAAGATGTCCGTTTGTATTCTTCAAAAGCTACATATATTTCTACACTTAGAATAAATAAACTTTAGTTCAAGCATTGTGCTAAATTTATTTCAGTTTTCAAAAAATCGAACAACTATAGCTCACTAGCTGTATTGTTGCCGTTTTGTTTAGTGAGCGATGGTAGGTCTTGGATTTATAAGTAATGACAGCTTCCTGCCTGAGTTTGCCTGAACAACACTTAGTCTAGTATATTCCATAACGGCTAAGATGCTTAATTTGGTGAAGTCAGACACCTTCCGGCTACCATTTCTTTTTGCTTCAGTTGCTTTGAGCTATAGTTTTTGGTTGTGTCTTTTGATTCCAGCTACAATTAATTTTTTTTCTGACTACACGGTGTTTTTGTTAAATTGTCGTTTTGTGAAGGGGTTTCTTTTGTTTTCTTTTGGCTGTTTTCGGCTAAATAATCAAATCGTTGTTTTTCCTGTCTACAGGGTTTTTTTTTTTAAATTCTGTTGTTTCCCTATAATATGTTGTTGATCTTGTTATTTCTGCTATAACATGTTGTTGATGTTGTTGTTTCCTGCTATAAAATGTTGTTGATTTTGTTGTTTCCTGCTATAAAATGTTGTTGTTTTTGTTGTTTCCTGCTATAATATGTTGTTGATTTTTTGTTGTTTCCTGCTTTAATATGCTGTTGATTTTGTTGTTTCCTGCTATAATATGTCGTAAATTGATTTTGTTGTTTCCTGTTGTAATATGTTTTTGATCTTGTTTTTTGTTTCCTGCTGTAATATGCTGTTGATTTTGTTGTTTCCTGCTACAGTTTGTTTTCGCCTGTGTTGCTGTCTGTTGTATTGGTAGACTTTGCCGTTTCGATGTGATCTCATTCTAAAATGAAATTTTACACTTAGTAAAACATGATTAAAGTGTAAATTAAATGTAAACTGAATTTTCTCTTTATAATATTTTTTATCAAACGTTTTTCTCTTTACCAGGTGGATATCAACCATGTTATATTTTTTTTTTATATTCAACAGTTGTAATGTTGTGAATCAAGGCTCTGGGATGAAAAAAAAAAGAACTCGTTCGCTAAAAATGATATCCAACCTCAAAACCTGGGAGATCCTTTAAATAGATGTATACCGATAAGATTGAAAGCTGTTTAGCCAATATAAATTCTAGAAGGCTATATAATGACAAATAACTTATGTATGATCTGCTAGAAAACAATCTCCATTGCATCCGGTATATAGAATAGAATAGAATAGAATATTTATTCAACCAATTTGGGCCCACAGTGGAGCATAAAGATGAACAATGTCCGAAATCATAGTCATAAAAACAATAAACAGAACAAAACAAACAATTGTATATTGAACAGAGAGTTAGCTGTCAACTTTTATGATGCATAAAATGTATACAAATAGTATATGTACAATGACTGTAATATTCCTATATTGTACTATGTTGTTTTCTCATATTAAAATTTTCATTTAAATGTTGGCATAATAAAACAATAAACTCAGAATCTTCATTTGACATAATCCATGTAAACAGGTCCACATTATTAAGCAGTATTAAATTTGGAAAAGTTTTGAAGATTTTGTTTAAAAACTCTCCTCTAGAATCATTATACAATGAACATTCTAGCAAAAAATGTATTTCATCCTCAGTTGGACTTGAAGTACAGTAACGACAGACTCTTTCACTCCTGGGAAGAATTTCATTTTTACCACATTTATTAAGTATCCTTTCATACCTACCCGTCTCTACCCTTAAGCAATGATTACTTATTCTGAATTTTGTGAGAATTACCCGATCGTCCCGGTTTTTCATATTCAAGTATTTTTCAAAATTGAATGACCTTTTATACTTAAAATATGTACCTAATTTACCAAATCCTTCTAAGTAATTGGTACGGATATCTTTCCAAGAGTTTAAAAAATTATTATGTAATTGCTTTTTAATGTACAATTTAAATTTGTTTTCACTTAATTTTTTGCAAAGGGACAAATCAATATGTAGTTTTTCACTGTAGAATAATATACTGGAGTACCAATCACTGTTGATGGTGTTTGACTTGCACTCATTGAAAGCTGCCTCCAGTAAATTAGATGATGTATGTTCTAGTCTATACCAGTACATGAAAATTTGCTTTAACATATCTATATATAATGGATACCTTCCCAGTTCAGAATAGATTCCTACGTTTGTACAAGTTTTAGATACCCCCATAATATATTTACAGAATTTCATATTGAGTTTTTCAACTTCCCAGTCTTTTAATATATCAAAAAGAGGGACATTTTTTTTTTTTGGAGTAACATTAATAATGCTCCAGTTCTCACAGCCATACAAAGCTATAGGTTTAATACAGTGATCAAATATATGTAAAAATGTTTTTATAGAGGGATTAGCATTTTTTATATCTCTATAAAATTTGAAGCATGCCCTTATGCTTTTTTGATACAATTGTTTTTTTGCTTCAATAAACTTTCCATTGTTTTCAAGAGTTTTCCCCCAGATATTTATAGTGTTTTACACATTCTATAATATCATTACCCAGATGGAATGCTTCCTTTAGTAATTTACCCGAGTTGTTAAAAATTATTACTTTTGTTTTTTTAATGTTTACTTCTAGACACCACTCACTACAGTAATCATGAAGGAGATTGAGTTTATGTTGAAGATCTGATTTCGTATTGGATATTAAAACTAGGTCATCTGCATACAGAAGACATGAAATCTTTTCTTTATCTAGAGTAACAGGGACAGAATTATCATCCAAAATACTTGGGAAGTCATTTATAAAGAGTTTAAATAAACTTGGGCTAAGGACATCACCTTGTCTAACTCCAACCCTGGATGTGAAAAAATCTGTTATTTTATCATTTACTTTCACACATAATCTATCATTCTTATACATAGATTTTAAAATTCTGTAAAAATACCCACTGATATCATTTGATTGCAAGTTATACATAATGCCAACATGAATAACTTTATCAAATGCCTTTCGAAAATCAACAAAACAGGCATATAGTTTCTTATCACCAGTCTTGAGATATTTGTTGATTAAACATTTCAGCACAAATATATGATCCGAAGTGCGAGATTTCTTGGAGAAACCTATCTGTGATTTATGAATGATATCATTCGTCAGCAAAAAATTGTCAAGTCTGCTGTTCAATATTAAGTTAAATAATTTTCCAATACTATTATTAATAGCTATGCCTCTATAATTTTCTGGCTTGTTTGGATCCTCAGATTTGAATAGAGGACAAATAAAACTTTCTGACCATTTTGAAGGATACTCTCCAGATGTAAACACAGCATTAAATAGTTTCAACAAGCAAGGATTGATAAAGTGTTGTGATGCTTTAAGCATTTCATTTGAAATATTGTCTAATCCAGGTGTTTTTTTCAACTTAAGTTTAGAAAATGCTTCTTGTTATTCTGTGTTTGTAATTTTTTTTATCTATCATGGAAAAACTGCAATTATTATGTTCCATTACTTTTAGCTTTTCCTCTAAAGTATCTAATTTTTGCTGCATATTATTTGAAATAGAAGTAAGATCTGAAAAATATTGGAACCAAGTATCACCCTCGATGCAGTTTTGATCACCTCTTTTTTCATTCCGCAACTGGTTCACTAGGGACCAGTACTCTTTAGGATTATTAGACTCTAATTCATCAAGCTGGTTTAAAATGCTTTGTTTAAATTCTCTTCTCTTTTTTTTCCTTAGTTTTGAATATTGTTTGTTTAATTTGAAAAAGGAACCTCGTACATTTGGATCTTTAGGGAAATGAGACAGAGTTAATACTTTATTTTGAACCAGTTTTTTCATTTTTAATAGGTCTTGATCAAACCATTTCTTGTTTTCCATTTTTAACTTCTTCTTTTTCTTTAGTGAAGCTATACGAACTTTATCATAAATCATATGAACTTTATTTGTGGCATTATTTATTCCAAAATTGTCTAAAGAGATTTCTTCATCTAAGAACTGTCTCATTTCCTTTTGTATTACAGGGTGTGCAAAAGTCTCTTGAAAATATAATGCATTATTTGCATTCCATACATATCTCAAAGGAAAATCATGTAATCTAGACTCATTATTCATACATTCATTATCAAAAGATGCTAAAATCTTAAAAGAGAGTTTACAGTGGCAATCAGAAAAATTTGCTTTAAACTCTGATACACCCATATAAAGAATATCATGAAATAAACTTTGTGAGACAAGCACATAATCAACTACACTACATCCATTAGACTTAAGACAGGTAAAATTGCCTGAACTATCACCAAAGCACCTTCCGTTCAAAATACGTATTTGGTTACTTATGCAAAATTCTAATAAATCTTTGCCTCTAAGATCAACAACATTATCTTGGCTAACTCTCTGTTCAATCACAACATCAATATTATAGTTATTATTGTGAACTGGGATGTGAAGGATACTGTCTCCTGCTATATAGTCTGCATCTGATCCTGTTCTGGCATTAAAATCACCAGTTAGAATGATATCTCCTAAATTCTTATATTTCTCTAAAATGTTATTTTCCAGTAATTCTAATAAGTCAGTATTACTTTTTGGTGCATAATATACAACGCATAGATATATATCTCTCTTAAAATTAAAGTAATCCCTACACAATTTTATCCACTGGTATTCTGAAGTGCCATCATTAAGGATCTTAATTCCCTTTTTAATGCTTTTACGTACCAAAATGCCAAGACCTCCGAAATATCGATTGTTTCTTGACTTTCGACGACAAAAAGGATAGTAATTAAATTCTTCAAATTTGATGTTATGTTCATAACCCACATGTGTTTCTGTTAAGGGAACTAAGTCAAAGTTATTAAATTCTGCTAAAAACTCTTTATCTAAGGTCTTGTCATAATGTTCAGATAAAAGTCCCCCAACATTCCAACTACAAATGTTTAAACTGGTTCTCATGTGAACTGTATAATGCAGATTGTGGGAACAGTTATCAGTAATAATGAAGCAGTATATATGTATATACTAATTCTAAGAGAGTAATTGAAATTATTAATATAATAAAATATACAACCGATGGGATGTTCTAATAATAACCTTAATGTTATACAGTAAAGAATAACTTGCAACCAGTTGGTTGATATTATATGATTATGTGTAATTTTGTACAATGACAACAATATTGTATGGTGTTAATAACAAGTGTAAACAGAGTATCACTATTGACTCTAATAATTGGTTGGACAAATATTCAAATATTCTGTACAAACTATTACAGCTAAACAGTTAACTATAAACGAAAGTGACTAGATTTACAAACTTGAATACACAAGTAAACTACTTTTAAACAATGAAAAAGTTAAAGTGACTAGACTTGAAGATTTAGCAAATAGTACAATTTGCTGGAATAGAAAATAATCTAGTCTTACACTCGGGACTTAGTAGTTCTGAGTTACCAACGAAACTTGAAATCATATCCACGTCGACGGTCACCTCCCCGACCCTTATACACGTAGTACCCTCTTCCTTGGTGCTGTTTAAGGCGATGGGATAAATTCAAAGCTGTGTCAATTGAGCTGCGGATATTGGATGCGAGCACTGCAGTGCTTTGATGGGAAAGATGGTAGCCATCCTTTGCAACAATGTATCTTGGAATTACTTCTCCCTTGTACGCCATGTTGCTATTGTCACAAAAGATAACAAGACTATCATCCTTCAGCTTCTGTTTCAGCAGGGCAGTGACTATCTGTCCTCTGGTATTATAGTCATCTGAGTCTTTCCTTGGAGTTGGGAGTGAGATTACAATTTTTGTAACTGGCAATTGGTCATGAATTAAATTGCAGATACCTGACATCTCTTCTACACATACATTGGGAGTTTTATTTCTTAAATCATTTGTCAATGAGTGTAATGCAATAAGATCTGGAGTTTCTGCTAAATTTCTGATTTCTTTTTCAGTGTCTTCTAAAGTGTAGGCAGTTATTTTGTTCACACTATACTGGTATGAAAGCTTGTCAGGGTGTATTCCTTTTATATTAGAAGTCCCAATCAAAGTGACATGGGGTTTTCCATGGCTTTGACGAGTTGTTTTTGTTTTTGATGCTGACCGGAAATCCCCGCTGTTATCGTCACGGCAATTATGTAACTTTAAGCTCACAATTTCTTCATCTTTCTTGTCAAGTTGTGTCTTCATTGCTGCAATTTTTGTCTCTAATGTATCTATCTGGGCAGATCTATCTGCCATGACATCTGAGGTCTTTTGTAGGTCTTCTGTGTATATCCTCATTTTCTCTGAAAATGTGTCATTCTGGTGTTGCAGGAATGAACATTTTGCTTCTAGGTTGGATTTTAATACCTCTTTTTCAAGTGTTGACATGTGATTTAAACTGTTCATTTTTGTTTTGAGTTCTGTGTTTTCTTTTTCAAGTTTTGTTGTCTTATTCATAAGTTCATCAAATTTATTCAGTAGTTGTGTGAAATTCGCTTCATTGGCTTGCATGCTTTGATTATGTAGTTTTTGCATTGTTTCTAGCTTTGTTGTTAATATTGCTGAGTGTTGATTAAATATCCTTTCGATAGCACCTATGAAATGGCTTTCCATTCTTGACATGAATGTCATCACTTGGGTTTCTGCTTGCTCTCTGGGTGTAATACTCTGGCATTCTACTAGATCACTTTGTTCTGTATTACAACTAGCATCCACTTTCTGTGTTACAACATCGTGTCTTATGTCTATGATATTGTTGTCGGAGACCCCTTGTTCTTTTGTTTCTTCAGTATCGGTCTGTTCTAAAAGTGTGTCATTCATTTCACTCCCTTGACTACTATTATCATCACATTCATGAACTTCTGCATCATCCACGACTGATGATTCTTGAATTTCATTCAAGTTCTGTGCCATCTGATTTAGGGAAGCAAAGTATTTGTCCTTAAATTGAACACATTTTATTCCTTGAATAACTACGGAACCTGATTGGTAGAAGTTTATTTTCACGGAGTTATTGTCTGAGCCTTCATAGTCAAAAAATACTTTGATAACACAACAAATATCACTAGTCGTCACCGTTGTTTTTTTCTCATTGAAGAATTCAAGTACTGCCTTTTTCCATGCCGGTATTATTTCACGAGCTATATGAAATGTAACGTTATTAGTCTTACCATCCCACTGAGGGTGTTCTTTTGGGACAGTTTCTTGTTCATCTAGATCTATCTCTGACCCTACAATGTATTCATTGTATTTGGCCGGAGCCGTGCCCCGGTTCGTACGAGCTCGCGGCATCATGTGACCTGCCACTGCACAGAAAAATGTTAGATCTTTTTTATTGCCTGACGCCACGTGCGTCAGGCAGTATAAGGATTAATATTTCAGGGATCCGAAACTAAGCGATCATTCTTAATGAACTAGATTTTGTGCAAGCTGATTTACATCGGAATTTGTTACCTGCATTTAAACAAATACAGTGTGCAGAAAAAAGAATCACATAACTGATGCAAAATGATGATGTGTTTAATTCCTTCAATTTTTTTGCATGCACATGTTTATTCTTTGCGATTCTTTGTACAGACATGTCCGTGTAACATTTTTTCTGCGTTTCTAAACTACTGGATCAGTCCATTTGGCTTCTATGAAAGGGGTGACACAATCATTTCGCACCAAATGTCACATGTAAATTATCTTCGCGCCTTTTTCTCGGGTTGTTCTATTGAATGGGTGTGATAACTTCTATGGAAAGAAATAAAGTTTATTCTTTTAACATGATTCTTAAGCTCCAGATTTTTTTATTAACAGTAAATTTTATCTCATTTTTTTAGAGAACACATTGTATATGGACAGGCAACACTAAAGCAATGGATTTGCTGATTATTCTTACTATTTATCCAATAAGTGGACTAGTCTAATCATAAACAAACTCCGGCCCTCCACCTAGTAAATGGGACATCCCTTCTTGATTCAGTCTGTTTTCCACCTAGCCTTTTTTTCAATATTACATATATTAATAATGTACGTTACAAGGTTAGGTTTTTAAAAATGCTTAGAAAGTCATGACGCGAGTAGCATCTTATTTCATGCTTTGTGATGAACAAGGGTTAATACAGTGACAATAGTGTAGTCAGTAGCCGTAGCGGAATGGGCTTCACTCCCGTAATGTTCTAAGTAAAGAATCGGCAAAATGAAGAAGACATAATGATCTGTACTGGTTTTCATTTCATAAAAAAGCACGCTATTATAAATATGAGAAAGGTCCTGAAATCGATTGAAAAGAAAAACTAAACAATTTCAAAACTGTATATAAAGATGTATTAATTTTTAAACTCATTTATAATACATGTATATGGTAAGACCATCATCGTGTGAGTTTTGTCCGGGGGGGGGGGGGGGTTATTAGTATCTTGTTTTGCGCTAGTTATAAAGTGTACAGGTCATTTACTTGGATTTCTAGAGCAGCATTGAAGCATTTTTGTCTCAAACACTTCAAGACAACTTTCTCAGTTAAAACTGTTCATAATTTACTTCGTCGTCGAGAACGACGGAAAACAGACCAGTTTATAAATAGAGGCCGTCATCACTTACCAGGGAGTGTGCATGAAGAAGCGCGCCCTCTAGTAAGAGAGTACATGTAATATGAATTTCTTTAAAAAGAATCATCTAACTATTTTTTCCTCAGAATTATCAGTGGCGGATCCAGGAATTTCATAACGGGAGGGCGCAGTAGAAGGCAGGGGGTCTGGGGGGCTGTATTGAAACCCCAGTGGGTCCAGGGCAAAGCCCTGATGGGGGTTCGGGGGCGAAGCCCCCGGAAGCTGTCGAATTCTTACAAATAAGAGGTGTTTTTTCCTTGATTTTAGGATAATGAACATGTAAGTTCTACATACAAAAAATTCAAACGGGGGGGGGGGGGGGGGGCACGCCCGGCGCGCCGATGCTGGATCTGCCATTGATTATAATCTACGCTAGCGCACTTGCAGTTTCATCCCAAGGTAACTAGTCAGCCCGTGGGCTAACTAATAAATGACCAAATAGTGGCATATCTTAGATATTCGTTAATCTGTAGTATTTGGTTATGACATTTAAGAAAGTCAATTGTACATCTTGTGTAATGAAGTATCGCATCTATGTCGCTCCTTGATGACGGAAACATTTAGCACCTCTCTTGCATATACGTTCCATAGATATTGATTGATTAGTCAGGCAAGCTTTTTGAAAAGCTATTACTTGTATTATATTTTACCACGATTACCAGTATTGAGCCGAGGTAGGCACCATGATTCTGGACAATTTTGATCAGCAAAGCACGTTGTCCATGTGCGCCGCCATTACCGGAAGTTTTTTATATATACTTCAGATGAGTTAAAGTTGTTAGTACATGTATGTATGTATGTATGTATGTATGTATGTATGTATGTTTATATGTATGTATGTATGTATGTATGGTTTTTTTTCTTTCCTTTTTTGAGATAATCAAAATGTCTCTATTTTCTCTCATTCTATTAATTTCGACATTTTGTACATGTATGTTAGAAGCTTTAGACATCCTTTTTCCCATACACTGACGTAGGTAATTATGATACGGATACAATCACCAATAATTAACTCTGAATCTTCCTAAAGGTTTGTTTTTGTCTGTTTAGAAGTATTACAAGATATATCACTATATAACATAACCGCTTCGTAGAAATTCTGCACTCCTATATATATATATATATATATATATATATATATATATATATATATATATATATATATATATATATATATATATATATATATATATAATCATACTAGAACTGTAACAGTACATGTACCATAAAACTTGATGCATATCTTTGAAAATTTCTCCAGTTCCTGAAAATGAAAATTTATAGAGTAAACGACAGAGAAATAAATTATGGTATTAATTTCAAAGCAAAGTTAAAATATGACATCACGTGACTCTTTAATGTTTTCTTACTTTCCCTAAGTGGAGTGAATTTGAGCTCATCACCTTTTTTTAAAGTGCAAATTAACTTGGTTTCAACAGCCATTTTAAAAGCGATTTTCGAAAGTAAATAAATATACTTTATTTATGCAATATTCACGGACATTATGAATAGATGGATAAACAAAGCAGCTTTTTTTTATTTGACTTTCATAATAATGATGACATGAACATAATGATGCGTATGAGACAATATATAGGTATAATAGTGTGCTTTTTTTAAAATTTCTGTCTGTGTTTACACTGGGAGGGCATTCATGGAGAAATATTTTTGTCACACTGAGCAGTACACACTTTTTAAGTAAATTTAAAATAAATTTCCAAAAGCAAATGCATCAATATTCAAATTTACAGGTATTTCGACAATGAAGTTCAGTCGACATTTGATATCACTTACTTGAAGTAAGAGAGAGAGAGAGAGAGAGAGAGAGAGAGATACTAGTGAATAATTAAGAGAGAGAGATACTAGTGAATAATTAAGAGAGAGAGAGATACTAGTGAATAATTAAGAGAGAGAGAGAGAGAGAGAGAGAGACTGTTAATATCACAAAATTATGTTACCTTTACCTTGTTTACAGGAAAATTGTAGATGTCAAATGATCACATGCCTCTATCAGACTTTTTTCTCAATTCAAACACACACATCATGCATATATACAGAGAGAGAGAGAGAGAGAGAGAGAGAGAGAGAGAGAGAGATGATTTTAATGTTGCTATAGTACATACATAACAATGTTTAATTAAAAAAAACATCCTTATTAATTACGCTAATTCTTATCTTGATGGGATCTGAGCTTCTTAATTGAATTCCAAATTAATATTTTTTTTCTCTTAGCTGTTCAGTAAATTTGATTAATAAACCAACGCAGGTTTCCACTTTGAGCTAGGCCAGGTGACTGCGATAAAATGATGGTTTCTCAGTAGCAAGTCATAAACTTTGGAAAGTACTTCAATATCGCAACTGATACAAAGGCACCATCACGCTGACATTTTTAGCGATTTCAATAAAAACAAAATATTCTATCTCCAAGGTGTCCTATATATATATGAAAGTTCGAGTTCTTAATTTAATACAGATGGTACAATATTTTAATTAAAAGATTTAAACATACCAGGATTTATATCAATATTGTAATCCTTTAAGTTCATTCTCCCATTTTGGTAGCTGATAAATTGTTATTTATAATTCCTCACTGTTAAATAAAATTATCGACTAGCTTTTTTCTACGAACCATCCATATAATTCAGCTGATAGCTCAAAAAGTCACTGCCTCTCGGTGTTATTACATTGTCTTCTCACTCCAATTTTGCACATAATCAGAACGTCTACGACATCATGTCGACCGTTTTGTAGCGCTTGTTGCCTTTCAATCACGGTATAAATAATCCCTTTCTCTTTTGGGGGAGCAGCTGCATGGGGGATCAATTGTTTTCTGATTTGTAGAGATTGATGAACAAACAATGTATGAATTATGCGATGTTTTCACCCCTACTCTTACGTGGAACACATTAGGCCTTGTCTATGGTTGTTCGTTGACATGATTACACAACATAGTTTATTTTTTCTCAGTTTATGTGCACTATTAATGTGTTCCCCTTTGTCCTGACATAGTATAATCACTTTCATGATATTGAAAGTTTTTTTTACAGACTGGAATAAAATCATTTTATATTTTTACAAAAATAAGTCAGTAAAGAAACTTTCATAATTTCAATTTTGACATTTTTATACTATCCTGCAGGTGATAAAAAACAAAAAGACAAATTATCACATGTTTTATCCTTTTTACAGTGGATATAGCTTATAGACGTCGTTTTCATATCCACGGGTATGACGTCACATGCATTGGTCTTTGCGTGAAGTATATATACAGTTATTGACTGGGTATTATGACAACATATGATTTGTTGGACCTGATGGTGAAAACGTTGCCCGAGGTCGCAGGCCAAGGGCAACGATTTTCACCTTCAGGTCCAAAAAATCATATGTTGCGCGAATCCCAGTCTATAATTGTTTTTGCTTTACCCTTCATTTAAGATAGAACACTAAAATTAAAACCTTTAAACAGATTTACTCATATAATTTAACAATTTCCTTATAAATAATACATGTATTTTGGCTTTCTAAATAAAAATGATAACAACAAAGAATTGGGGGGGGGGGGATAATCATTAATTAAATTATTATAAAACAGAACTTTTTTTCAAAAACATTATTTTTCCCGTGACGCTATGTTTTCAAATAGCATACGCGGTAACTCTTGAAACTTCGGCTATTTCCGCACATGTACGTGTAGCCGAT